ATTTCCACAGTTAGAACTAGCTGTTCAGTTTGATTCACCATTCCGCCTCACACTTCGAGTCCGACGGCCCTGTATGTTCTCAAGCTGCTGCTTTATTTGAACGTACACGTTCACGCTCACTGGTAGTTGCTGGCGCAAGCAGATTTGCGGTTCTAGGGTAGGTCGAATACTAACCCAAGTTTCAGCAATCAGCCACGTACCCATGCCACTTCAGAGACAATCCTTCGGAATGTCAGGGGCAATTTCAAGTTGCTGATGCCTCCCACAACTGTGACACCATGTTTCATGTGAGTTAGGTAATGATCAAACCTTCACTTACCCGATTTGAAATTGTTTACATGTATTATACAGTTTGTGAACACGGTGTTAAAAGACTTAGCTGAGGAGGATGTGCATTCATCGTGGAAAGAGGATTGCCATTTCTTCATTCAATGGCACGGTATGGCCGAAACAAGGTTGCTAGAAATTTATTGATAGCATTTCAAAGAAATCCCTGCATTAAATAACCCACTGCTATTTTTAGTTGCTTGGAATCGGACGCTTTCATTTCAACTGGTATCAAAAATAGCTCCATCTACGATAGAGATATACCAGCTACCAAGGTCAGCAAAATTTCTGCCATTTTTTTCTACTGAATTATAAATTAAATTTTAGCTTATGAAGAGCTTTAATAAATTGGCAGCAGAGCTAGGAGTTGAGCTGAATGCCAGTACTCCTAGACAGGATCAATTGTGTACGTTAACAGCTGGAACTAACATCTTTGGACGTTATATCAATGGTGTTTCGCGTCTGAATGTCTGCGGAACACCGGCAAAAGAGGAGGTAAGATTGCTAAGAAGAAAACTTAAACTAGACTCCAACCTTGATTCTCCTTTCATTATGGTGAAGACAGAGAGAAACTTTAAATTTGGCTCTGAAAGAGGTATGCAGTAACAGCAACTTCTTATACGTTGGATGGTTGTTATAGTTGGCACAGCTAACTAAAAGACCATACCAGACACTTTTTCAGCGTTGATAGAAATTCTTATCTCCAATTGCAACCGTGCTTCAAGCCAGCATTAGAGTAACCTATAAATTTCTATCGTAGTTCTGCTGTAATAAAAGTTTCGTTTATGTGTGGGAACTACGTGCAAGCAGCTCTTCACATAACCTTAAGCTAGATATAGATTTTAACAAAACGCTTAGGTTGCTTAGTTTGTCTATATGTATCTTTTGTTACGTACGTGTACAGGTGTACTATGCGTGTATCTGTGGTTGTATGTGTGTATGTTTATGTTTTTATGCGTATATATGTGTTGTCCTGT